TTGGCCAGGCTAAGAGAAAATTGAAGCCTTGCAACAGCACGAGAATGAGGACATCTATAAACTAGCATTTGAAATCATAGATCAGTATTTCTCTGGTGACGATGTAAGTACATTAAAGAATGGTCTGTGTATTTATGGATGTATAAAGTGTCTGGTGTGAATGCTTTTGTACTGCATATTTTAATTTAGTACTTAGGGTCAGTGTTACTTCAGTCAACCCCATTTATGGAGATGGGCTGTTCAGAAAAATATTCTACTACCTTTTTCTGTACTTCTTGTCTTAATTAAAAGTTTGACACTTTCTCAAGCCTTCCTTCTCCTTCTGTGGGAACATTCCTGTCTGTGATTTCTTTGACCTGCCTCTGCTCCCTCTTTTTCATTCCATTGCATCAAGACACTATCTCAGACAGTTTGACTAAAATGGTTAGTTCATTTTTTGCCTAATCAGTAAAAGATAGCCTACACTGTTACACCTTATGAAGTTGACCAGTTTATGATTAGAAGAAAATATACTCGCAAATCAAGTTTTATGTAATTTATAGAAAAATAGGTTAATCTTAGATTACAGGCAGTCCCCGGGTTACATGGATCCGACTTACATCAGATCCCTACTTACAAACGGGGTGAGGCAACCCCGCACTAGCTGCTTCCCCCCAGCAGACCAGGGAGACGCGAAGCTAGCGCCCCCCCCAGCAGACCAGGGAGATGTGGAGCGGCTTTTCTCAGCAGACACATTAGCTTGAGAATAAAGGACTGAGGGAAGTGAGGTGTGGGAGAATAAAACTGAGCTCTGGAGAAATGTTTGGCTAGAGTTTCCCCTACAATATGTACCAGTTCCGACTTACATACAGATTCAACTTAAGAACAAACCTACAGTCCCTATCTTGTACGTAACCCGGGGACTGCCTGTATATTATTAACTGTACTTCCCTTCAGAGTTGTTAGATGCCAGCAGTTCTCCTTCAGTTTTCCACATCTCATAGACTCATAGACTTTAAGGTCAGAAGGGACCATTATGATCATCTAGTCTGACCCCCTGCACAGTGCAGGCCACAAAATCTCACCCACCCCTCCTAGAATAATCCTTTCACCTATATCTCAGATATTGAAGCCTTCAAATACTTTGAAGACCCCAAGATGCAGAGAATCCTCTAGCTGTGATCTGTACCCCATGCTACAGAGGAAGGCGAAAAACCTCCAGGGCCTCTGCCAATCTACCCTGGAGGAAAATTCCTTCCCGACCCCAAATATGGCGATCGGCTAAACCCTGAGCATGTGGGCAAGACTCATCAGCCAGACACCCAGACAGTTCTCTATAGTAACTTCTATCATCCCTCCATTGACCTATTTCCCACTGATAATGAATGGTCAATTAGTTACCAAGATCATGTTATCTCATCAAACCATCCCCTTCATAAACCCATCTAGTTTAATCTTGAAACCAGATAGATCTTTTGCCCCCACTACTTCCCTTGGAAGGCCGTTCCAGAACTTCACTCCTCTAATGGTTAGAAACCTTCGTCTAATCTCAAGTCTAAACTTCCTACTAGCCATCTTATATCCATTTGTTCTTGTGTCCACATTGGTATTAAACTTAAATAATTCCTCTCCCTCCCTGGTATTTATCCCTCTAATATATTTAAAAAGTGCAATCATGTCCCCCCTCAGCCTTCTTTTGGTTAAAGTAAACAAGCCAAGCTCCTTGAGTCTCCTTTCATAAGACAGGTTTTCCATTCCTCGGATCATCCTAGTGGCCCTTCTTTGTACCTGTTCCAGTTTGAATTCATCCTTCTTAAACATGGGAGACCAGAACTGCACACAGTATTCCAAATGGGGTTTCACCAATGCCTTGCATAATGGCACTAACACCTCCTTATCCCTACTGGAAATATCTCGCCTAATACATCCCAAGATCGTATTAGCCTTTTTCACGGCCATGTCACAATGGCGGCTCATAGTCATCCTATAATCAACGTGGGCTGCCCTGCACCTCACCTGTGCCCGGGTGCTGTTGGCTGGCTGTTGCCTTTCCAGCCCAGCAGTACTGCCTGCCCCTCTGCAGCTGGCTGGGAGGCTCATGTGGGACCACATGGTCAGCCAGGGACTGTGCCTGTGGTTGCAGGGAGGTGGCCATGTAAGGTTCTTCCAGGCAGGCAGGGGCACAGCTGCCTTCCCCTGCCACCACACCCACCTCACCACACAGGCTTTTGCTGCAGGTGCGGCAGCTGGTGGGACATGGGGGGGAAGGGAGGGGAGACACAGGCAAGTGGGTGTCAAATTCCCCACAGAAGTATCAGTCAAGGGAGCCCTGCCCAGGCTCCGTCCCCCAAAGCCCCTCCAGGGGGTGGGGAAAGAAGAAGATGGAGGTGTAAGCAGCGGAATAGTGGAGAAGCTTACATTGCAGCAGGGCCTGCTGCTGCTGCCTGTCTTGGTCTGTGTCTCTTCCGAGGGAAGGCTTCTTCCCAGCAGCCAGGCAGATAAGGAGGGATGGAGGAGCCCAAAGCAGCCGCAGAGAGCAGGAAAAGATCGGTGAGGGGTGCGGGCTGCAGACCTTAAATGGAAGAAGATGGGCTCATCCCCTGAGGATGCCACTGCATATAGAAAGTGGTGAGGGGGGAGACAGCGGAAGCTGCTGCTGCTGCTGCTCCAGCACTTTGATCAGGATGATTTTGGGAGCTGCTTTGCAGGGAGAAATGTGGTCAGGGCCTATCCTAAGGGAAGAGGGTGGGAGTTTAGCTAATGTTGCAGCAGGAGCCCCACATGGTTTAGAGAGGTCATCATGCCAAGGGCTATGGGCTGCAGCTTTTTTCCAGAGTGTCTCCAGGGGGAAGAGGGCGATTTTGGCAAACTTGTTTTAAACTCACTGAGAATGGAAATTTTCCTGCTTGTTTTGTTTTCTTTCTAGCTTGAATAAGGGTTTTTTCCAAACTAAAGAAAGTTTGATGCCAGGATTAAATCACATCTGCAGAAGGAATGCAAGATTACAGGGGTGGTCAATAAGCAGATTGCAGGACAAATACAGTACATTGGCACTTAGGGTCAGCCTTAATAATAAGGATGTGTGGGTGAAAATTCTGATTTAACAGCTCTTTATTTTCTTTGTGACTGGGAAAGGGTTGTTTTAGTATTCTTTCTTCCATATCTCTCTCTCTCTCTCATACTCACACTCACACACTGCTTTTTTGTTTAAAAAACCAAAGGTGCTGGTACTAGGGTTGCCAGATGGTTTTGTCAGGGGGGAAAAAACACCTGGGAGGTTGGGGCCAAAATGCGGTCACAGCCCCCTTTTAATTGCCGTGTGTCCCGAGCGGGTTTCTGTCCGGCGTGGCATGCATGCTCTCAGGGCCGGCTGGGGACTGTGCCGGAGGAAAGCAGCGAGAGCTCCCAAAAAAAGGTGACGATATATTGGTGAGTGCAACGGTGGCAAACAAGCGCACATGATCTCACTCTGCTCATAGATGGAAAATCTCAAAGAGAACACTGGTCAGCACTCCAAAATCCTAAAGCCTTGTCCACACTATACAGTTTTGTCAATGAAAGTCAGCTTTTGTCAGTAAGAGTGATGGTGTGTATATGCTGCAATGCTCATTCCGATGAGACAACTCACTGATATGCCAATATAATTAAAACCACCTCAATGAGAGGTGCAGGGCTTATGTTGGTGATGCAAAATTTGTGTAGATGTTGGGAGCAAGGGTGAATGGATCCTGCTCTCAACAGGGAGCCCCAGCTGGCTTCTCTTTTCCTGGCAAGGTAGCCAGGCTCCCAGCAGGGAGCTGCCAGTGAAGCTCAGAGACCAGGCTCTCTGCTCCCTAGGTCAGTGGAAGTACTCCTGGTGAGGATAGAAACTGCCAACCCAAGGAGGTTAGTGTGAACATTAGTCACTGCAGTAATTAATGCAGTGGCTCTTAAATCAAACTAATCTAAGTCAGTTAATCTTTGTTGTGTAGTCATAGCCCAAGTTTCAGAATACTGGATCTCAGTGTGTGTACAGTGTATGTATCCTGGGCCTTACTTTTTTGAATGGCTCAGTAACTCATGAGACAGGGCATATGGCTCCAGCAATCTGATTTGCAGAGCCAGTATATTCAAAACAAATATCAGCAAGTAACCTTTCCTGAGCATTCTGAATGCTGCTGCCAGTGGATTTTGTGCTGGAAATCAGATGTACATATGGTAATGCTGTTCACTAGAAACAAAATGTTACCTCTATGCTGAACTTCCAAAACTGAAAGGGGAAACTGAGTCAATTGATGGCTTGTGTGCTACACCAGTAAGACAGCTTAATTTGTTTCTTTTATAAAATTATATAGTATATTCAACTGGGAATTTGGAAGTTCATCAAATAAAATCAGTCTGAAATAGCTTAACTTAGATTCTTCAAAATCCAAGAGGAAATGCCTAGTACTCACAAAAAAGAGACAAGAATTCCTATCAGCTAAAGATAAAAATCCGTTTAATTCAATATGTAACCCTGAGAAAAGCACAAAACTAGTTTTTTAGATTTCACTAGTAGTGATTAGCTGATACACTTGAAATTTCATTCTTAATGTTGCAGTTAAAAGTGTTTGCTGTAATTAAGTGGTAATGCAGTCAATAAGGATTTGGTGCATCTGTTTCCTTAATGGCATTAGAACAAAGCATGATTTTACTTTCTTAAAAAAGTTATTGAATTGGCTAAGATTATTAGTATTTCACTTTTTAATAACAAAATATTTCAGTGGGCCAGTATTATGAAATATTTATGCATCCCTGTATATGTAATGGCTTGTATAAGGTATTGGGTTTTTGTAGATTACTTTTTATTTTATCTTTATAGATTGATGAAGATCCCAGCCTCATTCCTGAAGCCACTCAAGGCGGTACTTACAACTTTGACCCAACAGCCAATCTTCAAACAAAAGAATTTAATTTTTAATTTCAATACCGTGCAGCTTCTCTGTCCCACACCAATAAGAAGCACCACCAAATGGCTACCAAGTGAAAAAAAAAAGGCTCCAAGACACACATGCCTCCTCGTTTTGATGCTTCTAAAGCAAGCCATGTATCAGTCACTTTGCAGTTGCCAAAAGTCACTATCACGTGGACTGTAAATGCATATGCATGATCTCTTAAAACTGTTTTAGAATTCTTTTAACAGTCCCAATTACCTTCTTTTTTTGCCTTTTTCCCTGGTGCCACATGCTGACAACCGCAATCTGCAGTTTTGTTAAGAAAATTTCATAGTGGTAGCACATCTGCTTTCCACGGAAAGTAACTTCTTTGGAAAATGGTGCGCTGTGGATCAAGACACTTTGGTATGATGCATACATTTTGGAAGACTTTACAGGGGCACAGTTTGGTCTGAGCCTCCATCGTCCTCCACAAACATATTTTCATATACTTTATGTGGAAGAATAGATTAAAAAATGCAAGCCAAATGAATTTCATTGGTGAAACTGAAATAAAAGTAACTTACACTTGGCAATTGATTAAACAGTTACGTTTAAAAAACAAACTACTTCATCTATCAGTAATTGATGTGTGTTCATTAACTGCCTCAGAAACCAGGGTTGGAGAATGAACTGTAGATTTGGACTGGTAAAGCTTTTGCCGTTATACCTAATTTTTGAGAACAGCGAGTCCTATTTGACCACTCACTTCAGCCTGTGTGTTCCTGCTGTTTTGAAGTAATCAGATGCTGTGCATGGTAATTTACCTGAGCTACAACCTGTTATGGACTTGAACTTCTGTTTAAGCTGAAAGCAAGAGTCCCTGACTAGGAAAAAAAATCTCCAAAACCACGCATTGGTTAAAAAGAATCTTGCTTTCAACTTCCAGTAGTCAGTATATTTCGTTTTAAATTGATAATTGGATAAGGTTGATTTATATTGGGTTTAAACTGTGGAGCTTTCATGTTTACTGTAATTTAGTCTTAAACTATTTTTTACTTAGTAACCAGTGCTTATGATGATGTGGTTGGCAACAAACCAGCAGCTATTTAGAAGCGTCATAAAAGCTTCATTCTTGGAGTATTGGAAGAGTAATTCAGAAATGAATCTAAAACCATTTTCATATAATTTAAAAAAAATACGAACTAGTTGATGTGTGAGGCTGTTTAGAAGCTGCATTTTTTCAGCATAAGCCTGATATGCAGCACACATTAAATAACTTTATATAAGCTGGTAATATGTGAGGTTATTGCTTTTGGAAAATCGTCTGGCCCAGTTATTTTCAAAGGGATTTGCTTTTGGTGGGGTGAAGATGAATAATTTTAAACTGTAAGCTATCACACAAGCTGGTTTTGTTGCCATTGTTTACTGGGTGTAATTTCCCAATGCATTGATGTGAAGGGATAGAAAAATCTAAACTAATTTAGTTATTGGATGTGGGTTGTATTTACTGTGATGAAGATAAGGACAGATGCCATCAGAGCTTTGTGGATCAGCTGTTTTTTTTTCCACGGATGAACAACACATAGCAGGTGTGCATTCATTAAATATATATCTGCCAAGGTGGAGCCACTTTAAAGAGCGAGTTGTCTTGTATCTTAAATAGATACAAGCGTATGTTTAAAATGCAAGATTTTTACTTGCTAGATAATCTGTTTTAATATAGTGGTTTGGCCTCTGATTATTTATAGGTTTTATAAATTTTAGAATCAATTTCTCTTTAAGGTGGCTCAGATTTTTCAACTCTTGTGCACATAAAATTGAGTTGAAGTTCATTGTGCCTTTTTTCTTTTCCCAAAAGTTGAGTTGAAGCTTCATATGGTAACTGCATCTTAGTCACATACTATAGTCTAAAATCTTTTAACTGCGTGGTGTTCGCAAAAACTAAACAATATAAAATCAAAGTTAGGTAAGGTCACAAAGTTTTGTGAAATTGATGATGATGTGAGCAAATCTTCCCCCTCTTAACACTCTATTTGCCATATAGACTGACAGTTACCCATTTCAGCCTACACTCGCTATTTTCCTAAAGATGACATAAAAATTGAGATTACATTCATGATTTTCCATGACTGTGAAGATCTAATTTTTTTCTTGCACTCTGTGCATCATGTTAAAAGTAAACATTGGAGAACTGAGAAAAGCAGTACAAAGCATTTACTCATTTCTTTCTGTTGTGACCTTATCAGCTTTTGACTGGGATTGCACCATTTCATAGTTAATAAAGGAAACAAAGTATATTGCTGCACTTTTAAGTTTTCAGAAGTGTTTAAAAATTGCATTGTTTTTATTATTTTTTTAAACTATCAGTTAAAATAGACTAAAACATTCTTTCAAAAGAGGCATCTAAATGTGTTCCTAATTTTGTATATGGGCTTAGGTTTTGTAACCAATAAAAAGCTGCTATCAAATACTATAAAACATGCAAAAACTTATTTTGGAAATTATCACACTGTCTTTTCAAATTGATTTAAAGGTTTTTCTGTCTTTGATCAAAATTTAACTAGTAGGACTACCCATCATAGTTTGAAATATGTTACTTAAGCAAACTAAGCTAATGCAATGATCTTTGAAACTTGTGGAAGAAGGTTGACACTCATATTAAGTGGTATGAAGGCAAAAGTGGTGCTTTTCAAAGACTGCCAATTTCTAGCAGTTTTGTAGTTAGAGGAAGATCATTTCAGTAAAGCTAAAGGTCAATTTACTCTGTCAGTTGTCTGAGTCAAATGGCATGTGTGTGTATATATAAACACTAAATTAGGGCATAAATGAAAAGGTAATTCAAATTGGGAAGCAAGCAGACTTTTTCATAAAACCTTTTTTGTAACCCTTGCCTGCTGAAGCTTCCAGAAGACTTGTTTTCCAGGTTGCAGATATTTATGTTCTACCTGTTCATTCATCATTGTCTTTTAAAGATTTAATAGCACAGAATGTTTAGGTGCTATCTTGTCTTATTCTTTGCATTTTAGGCTCGTCTGAAAATGTCATCCTTCGGGCTTTTATAGTCACTTAGTTCAAACAAAAGCTAAGTCCCATTTTCAAAAGTGATTTAGGCAGTGGAGACCCATCCTGCTCACTTTGATTGTTGACAATGTGATTTAGGCTATTGAGCTCTTTAGGTACGTTTTAAAATTTTACTCTTAAATTTTTAACGTGCAGCTGGTCCCACTTATGAAAGTTTGTGAACTACTAGGTTAGGATTTGTTGTGCAGTGTTTTTTTAAAGAAAATTGCTTGTATCTTTTACAAAGCATCTTACAGGAATGTCTTCCTTGTCTTTTTCAAGGTGACATAGCTTTTCAGTTTTGCTTTTTTGGATCTGTTAAGCAATGGATGTGTGAGGAGATGCATTGATAGATGTGTTTTTTCCCCTAATTTAATTCAAAGGAGTTTAAATGGTTCCAGCCCCAAATTTGACCACCTTATTCTAATCTAATGTAGAATATTTAAAATAGATACTAAATCCTTTAAAAAGCTTTGTACCTAACTACCTTTGTTCAGTTGAGTTCCTCTGTTAGTGTTGCAGTAGAAGTGAACCTTTTTTCTGAGATACTGATTATACTTATGCTCATAAACAGGAAAAAAATGATGTATTAAACTGGAAACAGAACTATTTGCAAGATGAAAGTGTAAGATTAATAGCATGTGGGTATATTATCCACATTTCTAAAACAGTATGAAACCACTAGAGGTTGTATTTTAACATTCTTTGCTTTTGAGAGACAGTTGGCAAATAGAGATAATCAGATATACAGAATATTTTGGATTGTCTTGTCTTTGTAAATCTAGAAAATTTATAATTGCTTTGGTTTTACTTTTTGATTAAGCTTTACCATAAACTGTTTGGTGATATACTTAAATACAGTAGTTGAAGTAAATATATGCTACATACCAGAAACTTTATGAGAAGAATGTTAATTTTGTAATGTCAAGCAATGAGAATTTAGTTTGGGCGTGCAAACGTTAATTCTTCTCCCTTGTTCATCATCTTCTCCCTATGATATAGTCTTTAACTACATGGTCACATACTGTATTTTTCCAGAATATGCCACATTTTAGCGATTTTTCTCTTTATTCTCCACATTCAGTGTGTGGCCCTGTACTTTGTATATTGCATACCATATAAACCCTACACTGATTACATTAATTTCCTTATGGGTGGTTCTCTCAGCCATAGTATCTGCTTCACAAACATTAACTTAATCTCACTGGGCTGTTGTGAAGATTAAGTGGTGACGTTATCTCCATTTTATAGCTGGGGAACTAAGGCATGGAGAAAGGCTAGATTTCTTTAGCCTTTAGACTTCTTTTTAAATCACTAATTTTGAAACACCTAGGGCTGGATTTTTCAGAGTGCTTAGCATTTATATAGCACTTTATGTATTCAAAGCACTTATATATTCAGCTTCAGTTGCAGCTGTGAGCACTCAGTAATTTAACAAATCTGGGCTCAGGTGTGTCCAGGTTGGGCACCCAGAAAATGGGGAATACACAATGACCATCAGTTTGGTTTCAGTGACTTAACCAGCATCACAGAGAAACACTGGCAAAAACAGGGATATAATGCAGTATCCAGGTCAACATTCAGTTACCTTAATCATAAGACTATCCTTTTTCTTCCAGCAATCCCTTGTCTCATTAACTACACACTTCTGACATCTGCACCAAATGAAGCAGTATCCTACAGACAAGAGCTTCCTGCGCCACCCTGAGTCACTACCAGAGCATCTCTGGTCTGTCTCTCTTCCATCCATCCTTGATTCCTGCAATTCTCTGTTCTCAGTCTTCCCCCAATAAATGTCATCCCTCCATGTTCCAATATAGTAGCTTCTCACCGCCTTGATGTCAGCAAAAACAAAGTCAACAAAAATGTGTGTCCGCTATTGGTTCCAGTGCCACTCTGGCTGACAGGTCACTAAGTAATGGCAGGGAAAGTCCTATTCAGTTTTAGCAATCTCAATCGGAAGTGTAAGACTGGCCTGGAAGAACTTTAGTGAAAGAGCATGCTCAATGTATCTGGAATCTGAGAATTTATCTACCAAACCTTCACATGACTCCTCTTTACCGAACACAGGCAAACAGATTTTTTGGAGGCTGATAGCTTGACCAAATAGTGGCAGTTTTTTATGGGCACAGAAAAAGGCACATCCGTGTCACCAGTCACCTCCTGCCAAACTTTGTGCTTTGGAACAGGCACTTGCAGGCCTGCTGGAGCTCCTAAATGTAATGGCTGTAAGAATTAGTTTTTACTTGGGCAAAATCATGTTTTTCTATTAAGCTTTTTAAGCCAAAACTTAATTTCCCCTACAGTTACATGAGAATCTGAGCTTTCATTTTTGGTTCTTATAATTTCAAATAGAAACTGGAAAACATTAAAAGGCTCAAACTACAAGACAGACAAACCCCCTCAATTTATTATTTTAAAAAATTCATTTAATTAAATCTCCTAGAAGGAATGGATTGGAGTTGGAATTTGATACACGATTTTTGTAGGTTTTGGGGTTGGAAGTTTTTTGTAGATTTGATCCTATCCGAGCTAAAAAAGTGTTCTCTCCATTTCTGCATTCTGATAGGCTTTACCTGGACTTTTTGAGTGGGAAGTAGCATGCACTGAAAATTTTGGCACTAAGGATTCTTGGAATCTTCTGCTTTTCTGAACTGGTCAAAAGAACAATTTGCTAATGTGACTAAATGGTTTCATAACTCTGAGTATAGAAACCAATATGGTGATGGACAGGGCAAAAAGTCTCAACATTTCTGACGGCTTCAAGGTCTCTGATCTGAAGGCTTGTCTACACATAGAGTTGTTTCTGATAAATTCCGTATGTAGAAACTTATAATGGAATAAGATTGTCCATACATGGAGTTAATCAAGAACAACTCCATGTGTAGACAAGCATACAGCTGCCACTGTGACTTCTGTTAAATGAGGAAGTCTGATACATATGTAAACAAAGGACTTTCAATGCCAACTAACACCTTGGACAAGTCACTACAGCAGCCTACAAAAGATGTAACTCTTTTATTTAATGTTTCAGCAGATGGGTAATTTCTGCTGGCCCCACCCAATGGACCTCTGCTGTCAGTCAGGCCAAACCTGATAATGGCTTTTGAGATCAGAGGACAGGCTGGTGCCCTCAGCCAACACACCTCCACCTAAGCAGGGCTGCTAGAATCACTGCTGCTCTGCTTCCCAAGTATATACCTTCTGCATTTTAAAAATGACTGGGAAGTTTCATCAGTTATTCATTAAGTACAAGAACTCGAGAGACAAGATGGGTGAGTAATATCTTTTATTGGACCAACTTCTAATACAAAGATATCCTAATTTTTTAACTTCTAATAAAAGAACCTTATATTTAATATCCTGGGACCAACATGGCTATAACAACACAGCAACCAAGCTCTCTAGTCTGACAATCTATTCCTCTCCCACTCAGCTAGCTGGAATCTCTCAGACCCTGGTGAGTATGAGACTGGTTTGTTTCGTTGTTTCTCCAGAAAATGAGGACCAGGACTTTTCTATCCAAGGAGATCATAACTCTTTTGGTCTGAAACCAACAAAGTGGGAGTCATCTCATGATTCACCATATTCTAGGATTTGGGTCCCTGGAATAGCTTGAAAGTTTTCTGGATGCTTGGATGTAGCAGCTAGGCTATAAGGCTGCTGGGTATTGCTAGGATTGGCTGTGGGGGTTGAATTTAGCATTGTCAGTGAGATATTTTCCTCCTTTCTCCATCTCTGCATCATACTCAGCTCTGTGGATGCACTGTTTAGAGGTGGTGAAGTACTCTTCGTTCACAAGCAGCACTGGCTTGCTTGCCCCACAGTTGAGTGTTCTGTGGGAAATTGGAGGAGAGATTGGGGAACAGTTGTTCCATGGTGATTAGACTAATGGTGGGAGGGAATGGGATGGCTTTAACTTCTGTTCTAGCTCCCTACTATGCTCTCCAGATTTGGCCTGCTGTCATTTGGAGTTTTGGTGTTCAAGGCTCTACCCGTCTGTGCCAGCCAATCAAAGACCACTTTGCCATCAACACATTTCACTTCCTCTGAATGAGCTTGGGGAGGAGGGAATGCTAAGCAGCCAGCAGGGCTAGGTTATGTAGGTACTGGGATAGAAGAACAGATGCACGGGGAGGGTGTGCTCATATTGCATCTGGGGGGTTCATTCTTAGTTGTATTCATTCTTAGCTGGGGGTCTTAGTGGACCACAAGCTAAATGAGTCAAATGTGAGATTGTTGCAAAAAAAACCAAAACATGATTCTGGGATGCATTAACAGGAGAGCTATGAGCAAGGCATGAGAAGTCATTATTTCGCTCTACTCTGCACTTATTAGACCTCAGTTGGAGTATTGTGTCCAGTTCTGGGTGCCACATTTCAAGAAAGATGTAGAAAAATTGGAGAAGGCCCAGAGAAAAGCTACAAAAATGATTTAAAGGCCTAGAAAATATGAGTTTTGATGGAAGACTGAAAGAATCGGGCATGTTTAGTTTAGAAGAGAGAAGACTGACAGGGGACATGATAGTTTCTAAAGGAATGTTACAAGGAGGAGTGGAAAAAATTTTTCTCGTTGGCCCCTGATGATAGGACAAGAAGCGCAATGGGCTTAAACCTAAACCTCCCTTACTGCAGTTGGACATTAGGAAAAACTTCCTGTCAGGGCAGTTAAACACTGGAATAAATTGCCTCGGGAGGTTGTGGAATCTCCATCACTAGAGATATTTAAGAGCAGGTTGGATAGACATTTATCAGAGATGATCTAGACAATGCTTGGTCCTGCCGCAAGGGCAGAGGATCAGATTTGATGATCTCTCAAGGTCCCTTCCAATTCTAGTATTATGATTGTGTGCTAGTTTGGCTCAAACTACTTTGTAAAACTGGTAGTGTGCCTATGTAACTGCCAGTGTCTGGGATAGTTGCCAAGTACATACCCACGGGTTATATAAGATTGTATTGAAGAGGCTATGCTAGGCTGCCACCCATGTGGCTGTTGCTATAATACGGTGTTCTCCCACTGAGCTCCCCATATTTCCACAAAACTAATGGTCATAGCAGGCCATTTATGGAAAAAAAGGATGTACAGGTTGAACCTCTCTCATCCGGGACTCTGTGGTCTGGTAATATCCATGGTCCATCAGGACCACAGAAGTTGCTAGACCAGAGAGCCCTGGCCGTAGAGGTTGAGAGTGGCTGGGAACAGAGCTGGTCTGGTCAGCGGCAGCGTGCAGTAGAGAGCCCCAGGAGATACTGCCACCCCATGGGGGGATGAGGACAGGGCGCCCCAAGAATGGCTGCTGCTTTGCATGGGGCCATGCAACCAGGAGCAGGGAACCTCCCAGGAGTAGCTGCTACTCCGTGCAGGGCCAGGAGAACCCTGGGAGCTGCTGCTGCCTAGCACAGGGCAGGAAACCCCGGGAATGGCTGCTGCCTTGGGGTCAGGGAACTGGGGAACCCCAGAAGCAGTTGTTGCATCACATGGATCCGGGACGAGATCAGCTGCCACCTCAAGCAAGAAGGGGTGCGGCTGAGGAACTGCAAGAGCAACTGCCACCCAATGCGAGGTCGGGGAAGCCCAAGAGCAGGCTGGGGGCTGCAGAACCAGGCAGGTGAGCCAGAGGAGATCAGGCCTTTGGGTTCTCCCAGGGCAGCTGCCAGGAGGGGAGCCTGGGAAGAGCACAGATGCTTGACCTCCCCGGTCCAGCAAATTCCTTTGTTTGGAATCACTCAGGTCCTGAGGGTGCAGGACCAGGGAGGTTCAACCTATATTAGTAATACAGATGACCTACAGAGGATCCTCTCTTCTGAGAGAACTGATGGTAATTCAGTACATGCTGCCAGTCTTTCACCATAGTTGGGTATTGTTGACTGGCCTCCACAGAACGTAACTAAGTTGTGTGCTGCTTTTTGACAATGAGAGCAGTCTGATCATCTGAGTAGCAACAAAGATCAAACCTATATGGCTCTAGGCCAGCCTTAGTCTATTGGGGCTTGAGCTATTGAAGTTCCTGGCCTTGAGGAAATGGCCTAGGTTTGTCATCCTACATTAGTTTCTAAAGAACTCAAGCCCAAACATCTTCAGCCTTAAGTAAATCTTTGTGGTTCCTTCCACGGGAAAGACTTTTTTGAGGCAGGGGATGGAGGCTACAGGTATGCAACTGGTTAGTCTCCCAAAACCTGCATGGCACATGGTGACTAGACAGCCACTCTGCTGGGTTGATGGTGTAAGCTGGGCTGCATGATGCTTCAAAGGAAATGATCAGTCTTAGAAAAAGAAACATTGCAACAAGCTGGAACTCAGGTATTAGAAGAGATTAGTGTTCAGGCATTTTGGCTACGTCTAGACTGCAAGCCACTTTTTTGAAAGAGAGCACCTGGGCAGTCTGGATGCTTTCTTTCGAAAAAGCACAGTTCACATTACATAGCACCTTTTTTCGAAAGAGCACTTTTGGAAAAAAAGTAATAGAAATGTAGCCGTGTTTGTCTGGTGTAGCTGAAGCAAAATACAGGACTATGTAGCACTTTAAAGACTAGCAAGATGGTTTATTAGGTGATGAGTTTTCGTGGGCCAGACCCACTTCCTTTGATCTGA